TGTGTGTGTGTGTGTGTGTGTGTGTGTGTGTGTGCGTGCGTGCGTGTGTGTGTGTATGTGTATGTGTGCGTGTGTGTGTGTGTGGCGTTTTCTTCAGGCGTCATCACGCGGCGCTGTTTGTCACGGTTACAGCCTGTTGTACATGTGTTCACGCGTGAAATCACGCCTCTGCTACTGCTCATGCTGTGTCATCATTCAGGTGCTGGCAGAGATGCGTCCAATCCCACTCGATTCCCCAACAGCCGCCACTGCCACTGCCGCGTGTGCCATTACGCTTCACGCCATCCCGCGAGCAGCTGCAGCCGCGCTGTCGTCCCCATATCCGCCACTCGTCAGCACCGCCGACCTCATCCCGCCACACCTCCTGGTGTGTGTGTGTATGTGTGTGTATGTGTGTGTGTGTGTGTGTGTGTGTGTGTGTGTGTGTGTGTGTGTGCATGTGTGTGTGTGTGTGTGACTGTGCATGCATTGTGGTCGCCCTGCTTGGTGAAATTGCCATTCCTTCATCCTTCATCACCATCCCCCCATCCTTCATCACCCCATCGTCTTCCTGTAATCGCCACCACTGCATCCCGTGCATCCAATCATTGTAGGAGCAGATCGCGACCACAACCGATGACGACGACAACAGCGACAGCGGTGACGTCGATGGTCTCACCGCAGCTCGCTTTCGCCTCCGCGCATTTGCACAGTCCATCATGTGAGCAACGCACGTGCGCTGCTATGTTCTTGTATGTGTGGATGTGCGTGTGCGTTGTGGATGCATACGTTTGTAGGTGCTTGATGTGCTCTCTTGTTGCTCATTGCTGCCATTCCCTGACGCCCGCCCTCACTCCATTTCGTCCTTCTCACTGCTACAATACATGCGCATGCATATGTGCCCACACACGCACACACACATACACATACGCACACACATACACACACATACATACACACACATACACGCGCACGCAGGACACAGCGCGATGAGACAACATATCTGCTGGCGCCGCACATTGAGCCGCACAATGGCGGTGGCGATGGTACTGATGTGCGCACGCAGCACGGGGGCGAAGCCGTCACCGTCAACGTCACGATCATGTTGCATGGTGCCGCACACGGCGACCGCCCGCAGGTGAGGCAGAGACACATGTATGGATGACCATTCTTTCCCGCCGTTGCACCCAGCCACCTCACGCGCAGCATGTGCCCACATGCACACACACACACACACGTACACACGCACACGCATGCTCAAGCACACTCGCATTCACACACACTCACATTCACACTTACACACACACACACACACGTGCACATTTGCACACATGTTTGTGCTGACATGTCCCAACCCACCACCTCGTCCTCTGTGCAGCGCCACACACTGCTGGTGCTGCCCACAGAGACGGCGACAGCTGCGCTCGCACGTGTGCTGCGCGAACACGAACGCGGGCTGGCGGACACATACGCAGCAGAAGACATCTGCTTCAAGGTGGTGTGTGTGTGTGTGTGTTGACGTGCAGCGTTTCACCCAGACTTTGACGCTGGAAGGAGACAGCTGCTCACTTTGTTGACACATCCTCAACCCCGGGCACTCCTTGCATGTGTGTTTCCACATGCGTGGGCCTGCAGGTTCCAAATTCACAAGAGTGCTTGTTTGGACCTCACCCGCTCGTCTCGTTCACGCACGTGCGGAGCTGTCTGCTGCAAGGTTGGTGGTGGCCTGTCGCATGCCCATTGTTTCTGCCACCATCCTCGCCCGTCCACTGTGTATGCATTTGCCCCGATCATCATGAAGGTGTCATGTGCTCATGCTTGGACATGATCGTGTGTGCGACTGCAGAGGAACCCGTGCACTTGGATGTGTGCACGATATCGTCCATTCTGCAACAGCGCACGTACGACCGCTTCAGTGTCACCCGTCTCTTTGAGCCACCGCCGCGCCGTACTGTCATCCACACGCAGCTGCCCTCCCCTACGCAAACAGGTCTGTTTTCATGCTTGTATGTACATGCGTGTGTCTGCTTTTGTTGCATGTGTGTGTTTGTGTGTGTGTGTGAGTGTGTGTCTATGCGAGCGTGTGTATCTGTTTATCTATGTGAGCGCGTCTGTGTGTCAATTTGCAGTTGAGCATCGCGCCAGCACCGTTTGTGCTTGCACTTTCTTGTTTCCTCACATGCAACACCCCACCACTCCGCCGGTCAGCCCTTTGTCTTGACACGGCGCTCTTGTCGGATATCACCTCCCTCTCGTCCTGGACCGTACAGCAACAAGTCACCGTCTCCAATGTCACCTACTTCCCAGGTGCGCCCCCTCCCCCAGGATCACACGCACATACGCATACACATGCATGAATACATTTTCACACACACGCCCACATGTATACAGTTACACACTTACACACTTATTTACGTACACACACACACACACCTCCACGAGCTTGTTGGGTTTCGAACATAGCTGACCCATTCGCTCCTCGCCTCTTACGAATCGTCTTGTCGCTGTGCATTATCACCTCCACACCACCGCAACACAGGATCATCATCATCATCATCATCATCATCGTCATCATCATCACAGCCACTATCGTCCCCGCCACCATCATCTTCGTCGGCACCGGCGCTGGCGTTGTCGTCGCATCTTCCGTCGTCCGCTGTGTTCTCCGTTTACTGCGGCGATGTGCTCATCTCGCGCGAGTCTGTTGCAGATGTGCAGCCCTCATCCTCCTCGTCCTCCTCATCCTCCTCATCCTCGTCCCGCGCAGTGCACATCTCCTCTGCCACGCCGCTGAACACTCTAGTAAGACCCAAACATTCCATGGACGTGTGGTGACAGCGTGCATAAACATACAACCACGTGCACACGTACACACACACACAACATACACACACAATATACGCACACAACATGCACGCACATGTACATGTGTTCAAGTGAAGTGCTTGCAGGGACGATGTGTCGCGTTCGTCCCCAGTTGACTTGCTGATGGTTTTTTGTGTGTTGTTAACATGCAGGTGATGGACCTACCACGTGCAAGCACGCTGCATGTAGCGCTTTTGTTTCCAGCCGATGATGCACTGCCAGCAACAACCCACCTCCATGCACGCCTGTCGCTGTTTGACGCCAACGCTGATCTGAGACAAGGCACCTTCCTCCTATCCCTCTACCCTGGCACGGACCCGGTGCGTTTCACTTGTGTGTGTGTGTATGTGTGTGCGTGTTTGTGTGTGTGTGTATGCGTGCGTGCGTGTGTGTGTGTGTGTGTGTGTGTGTGTGTGTGTGTGTGTGTGTGTGTGTGTGTGTGTGTGTGTGTTCTATGTTGCCGTTGTATTGCTCATTCGATCATGCCACACTGCAGATTGTTGGCCATCTTCCGTCTCGCTGCAAGCGGCGCGAAGTTGCGCGTCTACGTCTCTCCCTCCCCCATTTTCCGTACCGCGTACGCTCCAGTGCTCTTGTTGTGTGGGGGCATATTCGCACACGTACATCACTCTGCCTATTGTGCGCAGGCCCATTACCTCGACTCACATTGTGCCATTGCTTTCCATTCATTGTGCATCGTTGCTGCTATTGGTTTTCAGGTTACGTTTCCTCGCTACTCGTTTCCGTTCCAAGTCGATCCTGAGCTTGAGGTGGGATCGACGTTAAAGCGCTCTGCACGTCGATCAAGCACGCATGCACCAGCGCGCGCGCACAGATACACACATGCACACGCGCACACACACACACACACACACACACACACGCACATGCACACATACACGCACACGCACACGCACGCACACACGCACACACACATTCACGGACATACTCACCCACAACTCGTGTGTCGTGTGTTGTCACACCCCCTCCCCATCTTTGTTTCAATGCTCAGGCGCACGACCGCCGCTTCTGCGAACAGGAGGACAACTCGTTCTCCACAACAGCGCTGCAATATGTGCTGTCGGCGGTGTCCAGCGGGCAGACGGTACAGGTTTCTACTGACGATGACAACAGCGATGGCAGCACTGAGGACGTTGTGATTCGCGTCCCGCCAGACCTCGTCATGATCGTCGCTCGGTAAGTGTGTGTGTGCACGTGTGCACGTGCGTGTGTGTGTGTGTGTGCACGTGCGAGCGTGCTTATGGGTGAACGTGTATGTGTGTAAACGCGCACGTGCGTGTGTGTGTGTATGTATGTGTGAGCGTGTCATTCGTTTGCAGCTGCTCCCTTCAACCTCATGGTTTGTTCTCTCATACTCATACTCATGCTCATGTTTCGTTCTCTCGTGCTCCAATGCAACCTTTCCCGTCCACCTAATCCCTCCCCGCCGGCCGCAAGCCTTGCGTCAAAGGAGAGCGGGCTGCGGCTTGCGAGTGATCGGTGGTCCTATCGTCGCCGCCGCGCCCGTGTTGTGTCTGGTCGCGATGTTGTTGATTGGCTGCAGCGGGACATGGACGACGCGCCGCGCGAGAACGCCGTCTTGCTCGCACAGCGGCTCATCCGGTGGGTGGGAGGTGATGGAAGGCGGGATCGGGCCATTTTGCACTCATGTGTCCTCATGCGGTTGTTTGTGCTTGTGGTTGCATGTGTGCTTCAAATTTACTTGACAATCGCACACAGTGTGTGCGTGTGTGTGCGTGTGTGTGCGCGTGTGTGTGTGTGTGTGAATGTGCGCTGTTGCTCGATCTACTGCTACTGTCATTTGCTCATCGCGCGTGCACTGCGGGGGTGTCATTGGCCACTGTGCAGGCTCGGTGTCCTACAGCCCGTGAGCGGCAGCAGCGATCATGTCACGGACACGGCGCAGTTTGCACTGGCCGAGTTTACACACGTGCGCGGAGATGACGTCGCTGGCAGCGAGGACCGTGCCAGTGCGAAGGCGGCAGTGCTGAAGGCGGAGGTGCAGATGGCGCTGGCGAATCAGGAGATACACGACAGCAAGCGGCTGGCAGCGATCCGAAACAGCGACATCATCGCGCCGCTCACACCCCCGGACCATCGATTGGTCAGTGGTTTTACGCTTTGCTTCGTCGTGGTGGTCGTGCTCACGATGGTTGGGAGCTGAAGCCTGGTTCATCCACATCTCATTCCCTTATTGTTTCACATGTGTGTGTGTGCGTGTGTGTGCGTGTGCATGAATGTATGTGTGTGCGTGTGCGTGTGTGTGCGTGTGCATGTATGTATGTGTGTGTGTGTGTGTGTACGTGTGTGTGTTCAGCTATTTCGCCGGCGTCACGAGTGCACGCAGTATCCTCTGCTGCTGCCCAAGTTCCTCCGGTCGATCGATTGGGGCCGCGCGTGGCAAGTCCGCGAAGCATACCGCCTCATGCAGACATGGTGCGAATGTTTGAGTGATCATGCGGGTGTGTGTACCTGTGTGTGTCTGCGTGTACCTGTGTGTGTCTGCGTGTACCTGTGTACAGCCATGTGCCGCTGTGGTATGGAGTATTCTTGCATGTGCCCATCTTCACCAACTGTCCTTCATACTGCCTTGCCATGCCCCCCCCCCCCCTCCAACACTTGTCACCGCCAGGACGCCGAGCGCGACGATCACGGACGCGCTTCAGCTGCTGCACGTCCATTTTGTTGATCCGCACGTGCGAGCGATGGCCGTCTCGCTTCTCCATCCCATTGACGACAACCAGCTGGAAACGTATCTCCTGCAGCTCGTGCAGGTCCGAACATGAGAGCGTGAGAGCGTGAGAGAGTGAGAAAGCATGTGTGTATGTGTATGTGCGTGTGTGTGTGTGTGTGTGTGTGTGTGTGTGTGTGTGTGTGTGCGTGTGTGTATGTGTATGTGTGTCTGTGCTTGCTTATCCATGCATTTGCTTGTGTTCCCTTGTGATGTCTCGTGCGTGCGTACATGTGCAATACATGTTTGTTTTCCCAGAACTCACCCGGGCTTTCCACCACACTCACTCACTGCCTGCGTGTGCTACCTTCTATCGTGCACAGGTGTTACGGTTCGATCACGACCACGACTCTGCACTCGCCCGTTTTCTCCTCCGCCGCGGACTTCTAAATCGCCGCATTGGGCAGTCCCTCTTCTGGCACCTGCGTGCTGGCCTGCACACCCCAGCCACGGCCCAGCGCTGTGCCCTCCTCATTGACGCGTACTGCTGTGCGTGCGGCGCGTATGTGCTCGGAGATGTACACACGCAGGCGCAGCTGGTGGACAGGCTGCACGCAACCTCGCTCGCAGTGAAGGAGGCGCGGACACAGGAGCACCGCGACGCAATCCTGAGGAACGACGTGGAACATGTGAGTGTATCATATGTTGGCATGTGTGAGAGCATGTATGTATTTGTCTGTGAGTATAAGTCCGTGATCATACTTGTGCCTGTGTGTGTGTTGTACTTGTGTGTGTATGTGCATGTGTGTGTGTTGTACTTGTGCCTGTGTGTGTGTGTGCGTAATCTCATGTGCGCATCACACCATCTCGCGAAGCTCACGTGAAGAGCTGACCCCGAATTGCCATGTTGTTGTCAACCAAATTTACGTGTGCACTGTAGTTGGTTGGACTGCTGCCTGTGACGCTGATGCACGATGCGAGCTCGCACGTGGTGGGCCTGTCACCGGAGCGCTGCCGGGTGCTAGACAGCAAGAAGAAGCCGCTCTGGCTGCACTTTACGACTGCCGACGGCGATGACAGCAGCGATAACCACGATGCTGGCAGCAGCCGTGGTGGTGGTGGTATCACAGCTGTGCCCAGCCCACACGTGCAGCTCATCTTCAAATCGGGCGATGATTTGCGACAAGACATGCTGACGCTGCAGATGCTCCGGGTACGCACCTGTGCTCTTGCCCGCTGGTGATTGTGATGTGGGTGTGTGTGATTGTGTGTGGGTGTGTGAGATTGTGTGCGTGTGTGTGTGTGTGTGATCTTGAATGGTCGCAATGTGACTGCATGAAAGGCCTCATTTCTCAATGTTCCCTTCCATCAACACACGAATGCAACACGCGCACGATTGTTGATTGCCGTGCATGCGTGGACACATGCATTTGCCCCTTGATTCGCAGGTGATGGATCGATTGTGGCAGCAAGAGGGCCTGGGCACGCGTGTTACAGCATACGGCTGTGTGGCGACTGGAAGGTGTGATACGTGCACTCCACTGAACTGGCGCAATGAGAGCTGAAGTAGTGTCTGTATTTGGAGAAGAGAGAGTGCAATGTGGGAAAGGAGAGCTGGGGTTGTATGTGATGCGGGTGCCGTGTGTGTGTGTGTGTGTGTGTGTGTGTGTGTGTGTGTGTGTGTGTGTGTGTGTGTGTGTGCGTGTGCGGGTGCCGAGTGTGTGCGTGTGCGGGTGCCGAGTGTGTGCGTGTGTTTGCGCATTCGCGTCTGCCGTGTTTGTGGCACGCATGTGATAGAGTGCGAGACAATAATGCACCTCCATTCACTCGGCGCACTCAACCTACCCATGTCCCTTGGTGTGTGTTCGCCAGCGAGAGCGGCGTGATCCAAGTTGTGAGCGGTGCGCGTACCGTTTCGAGCATCCAGCGCGCACACGGTGGGTCGCTTGCTGCGTTCTCGGAGGAGCCGCTGTTGGCGTGGCTGCATGCCCAGAACAAGGATAAGCCACATGCCATGGGCGTTGTGCGATCGAACTTTGCAAAGTCGTGCGCAGGTGCGGCATTTGTTGTTTGCATCATGCTGCTGTTGCCGTGTGCTCGCATGAACACAGACGGAGGAGGCTCTTGTGACCTGATGTTGGCTCGTGCGCTGGCGGTGGGTCGTGCTCTCATTTGTTCGTGTGCATCAACGTGTGTTTGCCGCAGCGTATTGCGTCGCGACATATGTGCTTGGTATTGGTGACCGCCACAACGACAACATCATGGTCACTCCGAGCGGCGATTTCTTCCACATTGGTCGGTTTTGCGTGTGTGAGAGAGAGAGAGAGAAAGAGAGAGAGAGTGTGTGTGTGTGTGTGTGTATTATGTGTGTGTGTCTGTGTATTGTACGGTTGTTGCGGCCATTCCGCTCTTGACGACACGCTCCATTCTCAACCCATCTTTCGTCCCCATTACGGCGGCTTGACGCATGCGCCAGACTTTGGGCATTTCCTGGGCAACATCAAGTACAAGTTTGGGGTGAAACGGGAGCTGGCGCCGTTCGTCCTCACATCCGAATTCATCCACGTCATGGGCGGACGAGGTAGCCATCGCGGTGGTGGTGCTGATGATTGTGGGGAGTGAACAGCAGGTTCCCCGTGCGTTGTGCTTTGACGTGTCATCCCCTGCAACCACCCCCACCCGTGCTGACATGGGGTTTGTGTGTGTACACTTCACACCACCAGACTCTGAGCTATTTCGGCAGTTTGAGGACTTGTGTGTGCGCGCGTATCTCGTGTTGAGAAAGCACGCCAACCTCATCATCGCCCTCTTTGCCATGATGCTCTCAACCGGCATCCCCGAGGTGTGTGTGCGTGAAGTGATTGCTTGTTTGCTGAACCTGGTTGCTGCCAGGCTGGTGCAATCCCGCGCTATTGGCTCATCCACACTTGTACCCCCCCCCCACACACACAGCTTCAGCGGGAGGAAGACATCCAGTATCTGCAGCGTTCGCTGTCGTTGGGGATGGGTAAAGACCAGGCAGCGAAGCACTTTCGATCGCTCATTGCCGAGTGTATTCGGCTCAACCTGAGCACACAACTCAACTTCCTCGTCCACAACCTCGCCCACTAATTAATATCTTCTTGTGTGTGTGTCTGTGTGTGTGTGTGTGTGTGTCTGTGTGTGTGTGTGTGTGCTTGCGTGTATGTGTTTGATACAGCAGCACATCTTGCGTCGATGAGCTATTCAATTAGGAAATGAAGAAGTGAATCAATCAACCATTAACAACCAATACAACAGCGAGCAAAGCCAGGAACGCGGGAGCACAATACCACATGAACAACACATTCCAAACAAAACAGCGCGGCAACACACAACAACGACAACATAACTGCATTACTCTTCACGGATCGAGTACACAAACAAATGCCTAAACAACACTAGCGGCGAAATAGCCAGCTGTCAAACAAGCACGATTACCACTCCAAGCACATAAGCAAGCAAGCAAGCAAGCCAGCGAACGAGCGAGCGAGCGAAAGCGGCAAACGAGCAAACGATTCAAGTCAACACGAACACGGTGGCATCCGACAGGGTTTTTGTTTTTCTCTCTCATGGGGCCATGCGTGCAGGCTATTTCCTGTCAGCGCCTGCGGCCCTTGCGGCGCTTGCTCGCCGGTCCCTCACTGCACGTGCGGTGGCATAAAGAGCGCAAGAACAGCGGGCAAATGAGATTGTGGTGGTGGTGTAGAGGCTGTGTTAGAGGCACGCACACAACCACACACACACACACACATATGAACGTCACGCAACCAGGTGCCAGACACACACACACACACGCGCGCGCGCGCGCACACACACACACACACACACACACGCACGCACAACCAACGAACCAAACAAACAACCCAACAACCAAACAACCAAACAACCCATCACACGTACACAACGGTCGAACCTGCTTTCGTCGCTTGCTCGCCGCTTTGAGGCGTCGTTGTCGCCGTTGTTGCTGCTTGTGCTAGCGCGCCCTTTGCTGTGCGAGCGCACGTGTTGCGAGTATGCCGGTGGGTGCCCAAACGTCCGTCCGCACTTCTCGCATACGTAGACCTTCCCCTTTGTGCGCGAGGCCCGGCCGCTGCCGCTTGTCCGAGACGTCCGCGGCGTGTTCTCCCCGCTGCTCGGCGTCGTTGCCCGCGAGCCGCCCGGCGTGGCGCCACCAGCGTCTGCGTTGTGCTGTCCGCGGCGCGCGTGGGGCCGCTGCACCAGATTCGGCTGCGATGCCGTGAAGCCCTGCGGTGCGCGCGAGTGGTCCGCCGACGCCCGCCCGCTGTTGGCTCGGCTGCGGCGCCGCGTCTCCCGCGACTTGCGTGGACTCGGCTGGGCAGAGGCAGAGGTGCTTGCGCCCGTGTCGTCGGCAGACGTGTCTGCGGTGGTGGCGGTGGCGGCCTGGCGGCGGCGGGCGAGCTGGTTGAAGTGGCGCGCCTGCTGCCGACGGGCGCGGGCAGAGACCGCCGTCACGTCACCGCCCTCAATGTCGTCAATGTCTTCGCCAACGCCGAGGGCTGCAATCTCGTGCGGCGGCGACGCGCGTGTGCGCCGCACCTTCCGGCGGGCCCTGCTGCGGTCACGCGCGGGTTTGGGGGAGGGGCTGGCCTCATCGTCCGCCGCTTCCTCCTCATACGGCTGCTTGGCGTCTTCGTCATCTTCGGCATCGACCGTGCTGCCGGCGGTCGGGGAGCCAGTCTGCTCGCTCTTCACGTCGCCGTCCGTCTTGCTGCGCTTCCGCGCCTGCTCCCCATGACCACCATCGTCATCATCATCATCGTCATCATCGTCACCATCACCACCGTAATCGTTGTTTCCGTCATCATCATCATCAGCAGCAGCAGCACCAGCACCATCGTCATCTGCGGGGTCGCAGTCCTCCTCACCGCCGGCTGCGGCCGCTGTTGGGGCGTCGTCCTTCGCCTGCTGCTGATCCCCATCACCGTTGACATCACCGTTGACATCACCGCCATCATCATCATCATCATCGCCCGTCTTGCCGCTACCGCTGCTGCTGGTGGACTGCCGCCCCCGCTCATCACCAGCGCCCCGGCCATCCTCATCCTCGCCACCATCGTCACGCGTGCGGGCGTTGGCTGATGCACGGCCCCCCTGCCGGCGCGACCGGCGCGTGGACATCCTGCTCTCACTGCGCGACGCCTGCTCGCTCCCGTCGCCGCCGTCAACCCGCTGGCTCGCCCGCGTCCGCGTCCGCTGTGCGCGGCGAAGGGCGAGCGGCACAAAGTAGCTGTCGGGGGCGCTGTTGCTGTTCTCGTCGGCATCGTTGAGGGCAGACTTGCTGTCGTCGTCGCTGTTGCTGCTGTTGTTGGTGGTGTTGTTGTTGGCGCGGCTGCTGCTGCGGCTGGCGGCGAGCTCTGCACGGCGCGCCAGCTCCATCTTTGAAGCGGATGCCGAGATAAGACGGGAGGAGGAGGGGGTGGAGGGGGTGGAGGGGATGGTGAAACGAGCAGTGATGAATGGGGTGAGTGTAAGCAGGCGCAGCACAAGACAGATGTACGGTGTGATCATGCGGAAGGCACCACAACTAACACACACAACACATACACAACGCGCACATACACGCAAACACACGCATACACACAAACACACACGCAAACACACACATATATAAATATACAGACACAAACAACCACCACACACACCTACCACAGACACAAACAACACACAGACAAACACACACGTGTATACCTGGCGCTGCGCTGCCCTGTACCTCTCCTTCATCGTCTCCAGCTGCTGCTCCATCTCTGCAATGCGCTGCTCTGCGTCCTGTGTGTTGTCCTCCTCGGGCGACGACGGCGCCGACGACACTTCCACCAACACCTCCTCTGCACGCCTGTCCCCGGCATCAAACACGGCCTTGAGCTTGGGGTCCTCGTCCTGCTTCCAGCGCTTCAGCATCGCCGCTGCGTCCTCGCGTGCGCGCGCCGCCTCTTCATGCTTCACCGCTGCGAGCTGGCGGCGATCGTGCGCTGTGAGCTCCGCATACAGCCTGTCCATCACTGTCTCGTTGAAGAACGACCGCGGGTCCTCGTCGTGCCTGAAGCTGACGCGGCGTGCTGTGCTGCGCTGGCTCATCATCTGCTGGATGCTGCGCGCGCGTGCCCGGATGCGCTCCGCCTGCGTCATGGGCGGGCCTGACGGCTCCGCAAACACAGAGTTGCGGCGGCTGTCGTCGCCCATCGCGCCGCTGTTGTTGTGCATGGCCATCACAATCGCCGCCGACTGGGTGGTGGACGCCGTGCGAGACGGCGGGCGCTTGCCGGTGTTCGCGGTGGTGCCGCTGCCGCTGTTGGTGGTGGTGGCAGTGGTGGCCCAGTTCACTTGCAGCTTGCTCTGGAGCGCAGCTGTGGCCGACGACGACGATGATGACACTGCAGGGGTGGTTCTCGCCATGGTGGTTGGCTTGGGCTGCGTCTTGGAGGGCTGGACCGCTTTGGTTGCTGCAGCAGCTGTTGTTGTTGTTGGGGGATGGTCCTGCTTGGCCTTGGCGACAGCTGCTGCTGCTGCTGCTGGTGATGTGGCTGTGGCGGCCGATGCTGTTGGTGGAGCGCCAACTGCTGTGGCGGAGTCGTCTTGCTTGGGGCCGTTGATGGCGTGCTCGCGCCCATAGTGCATACCCCTGTATGTGTGTATGAGTATGTGTGTGCGTGTAGTGTAATATAGCGTGAGTAGTGTGTGCGTGCGTGTGTGCGTGTGTGTGTAGTGCAGTACCGTGAGTTGTGTATGCTGTGTGTGCATGTAGTGTAATATAGCGTGAGTTGTGTGTGTGTGCGTGTGTGCGTGTGGTGTGAACAGTGTGTAGTGTGGCAACAAAGAGTATATGAAGGTGACTGTGTGGGGTCTGCAGCTTACATGACAAAGGAGTCGTCTGGGTCTGGAAGCAGGTTGCGGCCAAAAGCGGTGGAATCGTCAAAGTGCTGGGCACCGGCTGGAAACGCCGCTGGCTGGTTAGTGCTGTTGTTGGTTTTGGTGGCGGCAGTGGCTGGCGTTGATGACGCTGATGCCGTCGAGGCTGTCTCCTGAGCCGATTTCACGCGGAGAGGGCGAGCCAGTGGAAGCAGCGATGCTGAACCAGGCTTGGCGCTGCGCACAATCTGGATCACGGTGGTTGGGTGCGGCAGTGCAGGCGAAAACAGCCAGGCAAGGCAGACAAGCGCAGTAGTGTCAGTGAGTGAGTGCCCAGTATAGTTCGTTGATTGGAAGCAGTGGCAGGTTGTGTGTGTGTGTGTGTGTGGGGGGGGGGTTATAAGCAACCACAGAGAGAGGGGGAGGGTTATCTGTGATGAGCTGTGCACAGCTGCAGGTACACGCGACACATGGCACATCACAACACGCGACACGGTTCATGGCACAAGGCAAAGCAGCTCACACAAGTACACACGACAAGTACACACATGCACGTGGTCTGTGCGGTACCTTGATGACGTGTTTGCCGCCGTGAGGAAGCTGCACACTGGAAGTTGCGACACTGTCACCCATCCAGCAGGTTAGGTGAAGCACGCAAACGCTCTGCTTGGCTACAGTACCAAGAGCAACAAATGGAAGTGGCCGAGTGGAAGAGAAGAGAAAAGAAAAAAAAAAAAAAACACACACACACACAAGCTTTGGAAAGGGAAAGAGTATGTCCGCTCACGCGCGCACACACAGACTCAGGCACCGCTGTCACGGAGTACACTCAGAGAACTGCTTGTTGGCTGGTGTACTTGTTGTGAACTCAGGTTGCTCTTGGCAAGCACCAACCAACCAAGAACAATGATGTGCGTCGTGTGCAGTGTGGCTGTGCGGGAATGCGATTGGCAAAGGATGGAGCCTTGCACAGAAAAGAGTGGGCTCTCTGGAGCTGCGGCTGAGAGGGGCTTCTGCTTCAAGGTGCTGGTGCAGGTGCTGGCCCGTGATGACTGTTGCTGGCTGGCTGTTGCTGGCTGGTGGCACCGAGCGGAAAGAAAAGGAGCAGCAGGAGCAGGAGAAGGAGAAGTGGTGGTGCAGACACAACGCGACAACAATCACGACGCAAGCGAAGTGGTTGGTGGAAAGAAGGAACGGAAACACGGCCGGCCTGCGTTTGTGCAGCAAGGACCGCTATTCTAGTGAAATCGTGGCGAATTTTCTATTCGCGCCATGCGTGTCGTTTTCTAATCACATCACAAAAATTATTATTGTAGGCCTGAATTCCATGCGTATGTAAGGTGAGCAGGCAAGGTGGGGGGGACAACAAGAAGCACAAGCAGCGTGGTGGTGGGAGCGAGTTTATCCGTTGTCCATCTTCCCCGCCCACACACACACACACAGCAAAGTTGGGCGTGTTTGTTGTTGTTGTTGTTGTTGTTGTGTGTGACAACGTGAGGGCCGTGTGATTGTGATTTCTGGTGGTGTGTGCGTGTGTTTGCGCACATCCAGCTGCGAAGGAAGCAAAAACAGCAAAACCACACCCTCCCTGCCTTACAGCAAAGGCAGCGGCCTTGCCCCCACCCTCAACAGAGCGCCCTGCTGGCTGGAAACCACACCCACCACAAGAACCCCCCTCCATCTCACGCTCAGTAATCAAGCGCGCTCAGGCTTGTGCCGTTGCTGTTGCTGCCTCAAAGCAAAACGGCTCCAACCCAGCAACCAACCAGGCACAGCAAGGCATGAGACAGCGCGTTTTGAACACAGCAGCCGCGTGCGGCGCTGTTCCAACAACCACGCTGCCACACACAGGCACACACAACACAAGCAGCAGAAGGAACAGCAGCACAAGAAGAAGAAGAACAAGAAGAAGAAGAGCTGTGCTGCAACACAAGCAACAGGCACCCTGTAGCAGCCCACGCCGACGCAACAACACCCAGCACCCAGACGACGATGCGTGTGCCACTTCCTCTGCTGCAACAACCACAACCACCACTGTACACGGCGTGGCGCAGCGCGCGCGGCTGGTGCTGGTGTGCTGCGCCGTGTTCCTTGCCACCACCGTCCTGCTGTCGCACGGCGACGTGGCACGGGGCCAAACACAGTCGTGCACGACAGCCACGCAGTGCGGCATCAGCCAGGAGTGCGTGGACAGCACATGCTGCGACCTCCCGACGTGGACATCGTGGACCTCGAGCGGTTCCTGCGACGCCGTGTGCGCGTCGGGAATCAACGGAACCCGGCCAGAGTCGCGGGACTGCATCTATCTGGGCAGCAACCCCTGCAACGCCAGCGCCGTGTCGCTAACCCCAGGCAACCAGTGCAACTTCACCAGCGTGGGCACAACGCAGACGCGGCACCTGGTGTGCGAGCCCGAGCCGTGCTGCGCGGTGGACTCGACGTGGACCGCGTGGTCCGGCTGGTCCCAGTGCTCCGTCACGTGTGAAAACGGCTTGGAGACGCGCACCCGCACGTGCCAGGCGGCGTCCTGCGGCGGCGCGGAGGGCTGCGACGGGCAACCCGTGGGCACCGTCGACCAGGACACGCGCGTGTGTACCATCAACCAGTGCTGCCCTGTTGACGGGTTTTGGAAGTACACGAGCTGGTCCGAGTGGAGCCGGCCCTGCGGGGAACGCAACCGCACGCGGGAGGCCACAGAGTGCACCGCCAGCTGCTTCGGCACGTGCGGCGACCCCGTCCTTGTCGAGACGGAGATTGTCGGTACGTGTGTCACTCAGATGAGTGAGAGAGAGAGAGAAGGGGGAGAGGGGTGGGAGTGGCTTGGGGGATTATGTCTGTGGCTGTGTATGTGTATGTGTGTGTCTGTATGTGTGTGTGTGTGTGTCTGTGTGTCTGTGTGGCTGTGTGTCTGTGTGTCTGTGTGTCTGTGTGGCTGTGTGGCTGTGTGTGTGTGTGTGTGTTGCGTGTGTGTGTGTGTGACTCAGAATACAGCAAATATTAACACGTACTGCACTTTGGCATCAAAATTTGTGGAACACTGCCACAAGGGTTTCTAACCTATTCATTCCTCCTCAGCCGGTCAGACGAACAGGTGTGTTTTACATGTTCACAAGTAACTGGATTAGTGTGCGAGATAGCCTTAACGAGGGGGTATCTAAACTCACCGTGCATCCTGTCTTGCTCCGAGGCGACTGCGAGTTGTGGGGTGGAATAAGTTACTGGTACTTATTAAATGTAGCGTTCCCCCTCTTCAACCTTTGGACATTGCTCTGCGTGTGTGCCTGCCTGTCTGCCTGTCTGCCTGTCTGTCTGTCTTTGTGCGCTGTGTGTGTGTGTGTGCGTGTGTGTGTGTGTGTGTGTGTGTGCGTGTGCGTGGATGCATCCGCATGCGTGGAAGTGCCATTGCCCCCCCCCCCAACCGCACGAGTTGACATGCCGCCTCACCCCATCAAACGACACCTCCCCCCACCCGCTCACCTACATGCTTCCGTCCACGTATCGCGTGCAACAGACTGTGGCGACACGACGACCACCACTGAGGCGCCGACGACGACTGCTGCGCCGCTGGGGTCCATTGTGGTGGTGACGAGTGTCGAGGGCGTGACGCCGCCGTGGACCAGCAGCATGCGCTCCAGCTACCGCTCGTTCATCTCCAACCAGCTCTCCTTGGAGGTCGGCCGCCTCCCCGCCAGCGACTATGGCCTACTGACAGAGCAGCTCTCCGAATCGCCCTCTGCCGTGTTCCGCACGCGCATCACGCCAGACAGCGAGGCGGATGTGACCCTGCTGTATTGTGGCGCCGTCTCGTTTACGAACAGCACTGCGTCCATGCAGGACCTGCAGCGGCTTGGGAGCGCCTTTACCGATGCGACCTTGTCCCTCACCAGCACTTCCGGCTGCACCAACTGCACCTGCACCTCCTTCTCATCTCAACGTACGTGCATGGGAGTAAATTGTGTGCTGTGTTTGGATGTTTGTGTGCGTGTGCATGTGCATGTGTGCTTGTGCGTGTGCATATGTGTGTGTGCGTATGCATGTGCGTGTGTGCCTCCGTGTGTCTATACGTCTGTGTTTGGATGTTTGTGCATGTGCATGTGCATATGTGTGCTTGTGCGTGTGCATATGTGTGTGTGTGTCCCTCCGTGTGTGTGTGTCCTTGCAGTGCATGGAAAACTACGTGTCATACTGGATGTGCGGTACCATGGGTATTGTGTCTCACCACTCCACCTCCTACCCCTCCTTGCCTTCCTTCATCCCTCACCCTCCACCCCCCCCCCCTCCCCACCACATCACCCCGCGATGTTTGCATCAGGTGCGGCCGGGTCCACGAGCGCATCGTCAGACACGGCGGTCATTGTTGGCGGTGCCGTTGGCGGCGGTGTCGGGCTCCTCATCATCGTCGCAGCGCTAGTGCTGCTCGTTCGCTCACGCAGCAAGGACAAGGTACACGCGCTTTGGTTGGAACAGTGCACTGAGCACTTTTGGGGTAGGAAGCCATGAAACAGACTCACGTGTCAACACAAGAAGTCCCAAAACTCGCTGTTGAGACGTGTGCATGCATACACTTACACACACACACTTACTCACTCACTCACTCACACACACACACACACACACTCACACACACACACACACTCACTCACACACTCACACACACACACACACACACACACACTCTCTCTCTCTCTCTCTCTCTCTCTCTCTCTCTCGCTCAGACTCAAACGGACAATGTGGATGGAAAAAGTGACTTTGAACACGAGCCGCAGGCGACAAAACGTGACGAACACGTTTCACCGCCCCGCAGCTCCCTCTTCACCTCAAACCCCAGCGCCACATACGCGCACCACCACGATCATCCTCATCATCATCATCAACACCACCACCACCAGCACGAGCGCGGGCGTGCGGACGGCGTGGGCAGCGGGTTTGAGGACTACGTGTATGGCGATGCGACGTCGCGCCCGTCCATGATCAACAACGTGGTGTACGACATCCGGGAGACGGAGCTCGGGCATACGCCGGAGTACAGCCGCCTGCGCCGCCAGCGCACGGCAGAGAGCGAGAAGCTCGAGCCGCCCGTGGTGCTGCACGAGGGCACCGACGGGTCCCACCTGGTGCTGGTGCGCACGGAGCCGGGGGTGTACACGGTGGCGCGGCCGCTGCAGCCCAAGGAGCTCGGCGCCATGCACCACGCCATTGTCGTGCGCAAACCAAAGGGCGGGTATGTGCTGCTGAAGCGGAACCAGGGCCAGGCGTACCAGGCCGTGCGGTCGGCGACAACGGAGGACGAGGTGATGGTGGTGGACACGCTCATGGGCAAGCCCGTGCTGCTGCTGGGGGACGACGCAGGCAGCATGCAGACGGTGACGCTGTTTGATCGCATTGACGTGGGCGCCATCCTGCCGCGCGCCGACGACCACGACGACAGAGACCTGACCATATTCTGCATTGGCGCCGTTCGGCCCGCACACCCCGGTGACGGCGGCCACGGCAGTGACGGCGACGACGCGGGAAAGGGCAACATGCAGAAGGCGAACAATAACAAAACGAAGAAGAAGAAGAAGAGCAGTGGCAACTTCAACGGCGGGTTGAGCAATGCCAGCAGCATGGGCAGCATTGACAGCATTGGCGGCTTCAGCGATGCGCAGCACGCCAACGGCAAGCGGGTGTCCTCCGCCTCCTCCTCGGCGTCCACGGCCGGCGCGGCCACCGCGGCGCAGTCATCAGCGCCGCCGGACCTGTACTGCTTCCGGCTGGTGCGCATGCGCTCTGTGCACTTTCGGCTGGAGCCCATGCGGCGGCCCGCGGTGCTGCCGGCAGACCTCTCCATCGTGCTCAAGACGCGACCCGAGCCGCTGCACCTGCAGCAGCTGGGCGCGGACACATATGTGCGCGTGGAGACGGACGACCTCGGAGAGGACGGGCTGCCGCTGACGCTGCCGTCGTCGTGCTTCAAGGAGGTGCTGAGCAAAGTGGTGCAGCTTGAGCCGCAGTTTGGGGCGGGGCAGGCGGCGCAGGACGCCAAGCGGCTGGTGACGCTGCTCAAGCAGGACCGCGCCCACGACCGATATGTGGTGATGGAGAAGAACCCTGGCGGGCAGTACCGCCGAGCAGAGGTTGGCTCGCAGCGGGAGAACATGTACGTGACGGTGGAGACGCAGGACGGGCGCTACTTTGACCTGCACCGCGCCGACGACGGGTACACGCAGGTTGACGACGATGGCGTGGGCGGCGGCGGCGGGCGGGCGCCAGACGAGTCGCTGACGGAGCTGGACAGCACGGCGTTTGACGGCGGGTACATCTCGCTCCTGCGCAGCGACGACGGCGTGTACGCGGTGCTGTGCAAGGAGAACGAGAGCGACCCCGTGTATGTGCGGGCGGACACCGGTGCGGAGTACATGACCTCTGAGGAGCTTGCACGCCGCTCCCGCGCGTCCTCCGTCGCCAACGCAGACGTGGCCGACCCGCGCGACTTCCCCTCCACGCCGCGCCAGCAGCCGGCCGAGGCGTGGTCGCCCGTCTCTCAGCCCGCACCGCGGCGGGACCCGGCCAGCGAGTTTGCCCAGTACGTCTCCCGCAGCTCAATGGCGTCGCCATCGCCAGGGCAGCCGCGCGGATCACGCGCCGTGTCGCGCACCCAGCAGCAGCAGCAGCAGCAGCAGCAGCAACAGTCGGACGGTAGTGACACTGGTGGTCGGGTGGCGCAGCGAAGAAACACACCCATGGTGGCTGGTGTTGGGCACCACCACCGCCGCCACCGCTCACCGGCCTCCAACCCTTATCAAGCACGTCGGCAGCAACAGCAACACCAGCAACACCAGCAACACCAGCAACACCAGCAACAAGGGCTTGGCGCATATGGGCGATCGCCTGGCCCCATGTCAGCGTTTGATGATCCTGGCTTCGGCAATGAGCAAGGTGCGGAGTTGCTTGCAGGCAACAATGGCCGCGTGTCCCTTGATTCGCGCGTCTCTGTCGGCTACATTGACGTGTACGGTGATGATGATCAGCGAGCGGGTGTGCCGTCACGCCAGCCGCCCACGCCTCCAAGCGCAGGGTACCGCCCGCACATGTCCCAGCGAGGCCGTGGTGGGCGCGGTGGTGGGCGCGGTGGTGGTCGTCGCGGGGCCCGCCCGTCCAGGTTTGCCAACCAGCCGTTTGTTCCGCGGCACTCCATCATTGCGGAGGAAGCTGGTGGCGACTACGAGGAGATCCCAGCTGAGCAGCAGCAGCGAGGTGATGGCTCAGGTGGTGCATACGGTGGCGGCTATGGTGGACGAGCACAGGCAGCAACACGGGCGCCGCAGATGGCGCCACAACAGCAGCCGCCGCAGCAGCAGCCACGCCGAACAAGCCAGGCTACACATGTTCCTGCGGACATGGACGCCGTGGAGGCGCAGCAGCTGCTACAGCGGCCTGGTGTGGCAGAGGGAAGCTTTGTGCTGCAGCGGGTAAACGCGCACACGGTGTGGGCGCATGTGCTGGCACAGGGGGCGCCGCGCATAATCCAAGTTGTAGTTGATGTTGGTGCACCTGGCGTGCGAACGGACGGCCCAAGCAAAGTGGTGACACCGAGCGTTGCTGCGTTTGTGGACACCTTTAGCGGGCCCCAGCCAGCCAACAGCCCCGTACCTCACCCGCTCACGCGTGACATGACGCCCCGCTCCTTCTGACACCTGGGTGTGTTGTGTTGTTTGGGTGTGTTGTGTTGTGTTTTGGAGGACTATTGTGAAACAGAGACGTGCCGAGTGCGTGCTTGCAGGTTGTTGTGATTCTTGTTTTGTTTTGTTGTAGTTGTTGTAGTTGTTGTTGTTGTTGTTGTTGTTGTTGTTTCGCGACCTCCCTATGTGTGATTCGATGTGTGTGTGTGTGTGTGTGTTGGTGCGCGCGTGTGTGTGTGTGTGTGATCATGTGTGCGTGTGTGTGAGCATGTGTGCGTGTGTGTTGGTGCAGTTCATGCACGCAAGCAAACGTCAGTCAAGACAAAGACAACCAAACCAACACAACCAATGAGTCATCATTGTAAACTGAATTCAGTTGCGCCTTGGCTTGATAAAAGTTTTGGCATGCGTCAGGCAAAATCAGTGGCTGGAGGAGACAACAGAGACGGCACCAGATACGAGCAGTCATTTCTGAGCGAGAAGCAACAACGAAGACAACACAAAGACACACACGCACACGCGAGACAACGTCACATCATGGCGAAGCTGCTTGTTATTGCAGGGGTGTTGGCCCTGCTGAGCGCAACTGCTGTACGCGCAGCCACCGTCAACTGCCAGCCGGTCAATGGCAACGATCTCATCCGCAAATGCGGCAAGCAGTAGTGAGTATGCCATGGTTTAGTGTGACTGTGTGTTTGAATGAAAATGTGCGTGCGTATGTGTGTGTGTGTGTATGTATGTGTGCGTGGGTGTGTGCGTGGGTGTATGTGGGTCGGTGTACGTGGGTATGTTGAAATGTGTGGGTGTAGATGAGTGTCTCTGTCTCTGTCCTTGTGTCTGTGTTTGTCTCTGTCTATTGCATTAAATGCTTCTGCACGTGTGATGCTAACTGGGCAATTAATTCACTTGCAGCTTTGACCTTGCATCCATCAAGGGTGCCGATGGCAAGTCACTGCTCACCGCCAAGGACACAACCAACGGGGTACGTGTGTGTGTGTGTGTGCTTGTGTGTGTGTGTGCTTGTGATTGTGGTTTTGCTTCGTGTCAGAACGATTCAAGATGCCCGCGCCTTCCCCAAGCTTACCCCTTCCATCCCACGATTTTTGATCTTGCAGTACATGTACTACGTGCAGTTCACCAACAACGGCGTGCCATCCAAGCTCCCGTGAGTTTGTCTGCCTGCAGTTGCCTGCAACTGTGATTCACTTCCTAACCACACGCGCGTGTGGACCTTGCAACACACACACACACACGCACGCACGCACACACACGCACACACAGACTCAAATGCACACCCAAGAACACAAACTCACACATGCTCACACAAATGACCACACTCCCCTTGTGTGATTTACACCCACTTGCAGCAACTGCACCCTGCAGGACAGCTCCGTGCTCGGCGCGCAGGTGCGCCTGGACGGCCAAGGCTGCTACAGCCTGGCCAAGGCCAACCTCATCAACTGGGCGTATGACAACTCCACCAACGACCTGACCATCACCGCGACCGGTGGCACAAACGGGCGGTCCATGAGCATCAAGGCGCAATGCCAGTTTGGCGCCAAGTACACCAACATGCAGGAGACGGGCGAGTCTGGCCTCACCTACAACTTCAACATCAACATGCCCAGCAAACACTGCACCAACTCTCCCCCTCACGGCCCCAGCCACAATGGCAAGAAGAAGACGGACGGCGGTGCCATTGTCCTTGGTGTTTTCTTTGGCGTCCTGCTCGGTTACTTTGTGCTCGGCGCCGTCTACCTCGGCGGTGCGCAGGGCAGGCGCGGCGTGGAGATGATCCCCAACCGCGAGTTCTGGGCGTCCCTGCCCGGCCTCGTGCAGGACGGCTTCTACTTCACCACCGCCAAGCTCAAGGGCACCGCTTCCCGCGGCAACTACGCCCAGATCTAGATTGCGCGCGCTCAGCAAGCGTTGTCGTGGCCAACCCCCGACAATCCTCTTTTCGTTTTGCTTTGATGTGCGTCTCGGGGGTTTTCTTGATTCGCTCGACCTTTTGTTCTCCCCTTGTTCCTCGTTCTTCGTCTTCTTCTTTTTCGCAGCGTTCCACAAGTGTGTGTCTGTGTGTGTCTGTGTGTCTGTGTGTCTGTGTGTGTTGTGTGTGTGTTTGTGTTGTGTGTCTGTGTGTGTTTGTGTTGTGTGTCTGTCTGTGTTGTGTCTGTGTCTGTCTGTGTCTGTCTGCCTGACGTTGGCTGCTGGTGTTTTGTGGCAGCGTGCAGCAGTGTGTGTGTGTGTGTGTTTGCCGAAAGTGTAAAGTGTGGTGACGTACACGCACATGCACGTGGTCGATTAGCTCTCTGTTGGTTTTGGTGTGGCGTCGCGGCGACTATCGCAAAGTACAGTGCCTGTGACGTGAATGTTACGCTCGTGGTCATGCACACGTGTGCGGCACACATACACAACACAACAAGGCGAACACAGCAACACGGACACAGGCACTTAAGTGACGCAAGTGGTGTGTGTGTGTGTGTGTGTGTCCGTCTGCACGATGTGAAAGGAAGATACAACTGCTTTATGGCTGTGTGGAGAAGACGCTTCATGTCGCACTTGGATGTTGATGTGTGAGTACAGGACAGTTAGAAAAAATTGGGGTTGACACGTTGTGATGTGATTTGAAATGACACCCACAGCCAACTGGACAACGTTAAAACATCTGACCAGAAGAGGGTCCACCCTCATCATCATCGTCGTCGTCGCCATCATCGTCACCAGCGTCATCATCATCAGCGTCGTCCAACATGTCCAGCAAGCTTTCCTCTTCCTCCTCCTGGAAGCGGGTTGGTGGTTGCGCAGAGTGGGATCAAAAAGCACGCCAGCGTTAAGCACGGGCGGAGTTCGTGGGATGACACTTACGCTTGCATTCACATGCCCACAACCACACATCCAAACGTTCACACGCATGCATACATACATACACAAACCCACACTGCAACCCACAGGATGCAAACACACCTGCTGCTTAGTTGCTGCTTGCGCGTGCACGACTTTGCGCAATCCCTCATCGGCCGCCAGCGAGGGGTCGATGGCGTGATTGCCAGTTGCACCGTAGCTGCTGCTGCTGCTGCTGTCGTCATCATCGTCTCCATCGTCGTCACTGTCGGCGTTGTTGTTGGTGTTGTTGTTGTTGTTGTTGTTGCTGCTACGGTGCTCGTTGTTGTGCTTCTTGGTGGCGTTGTCGTCGGCGTCCCCATCATCATCCTCGTCCCCGTCATCATCGTCATCATCGTCATCATCATCATCATCGCTGCTGTCACCATCGGCACTGTCATCCTCGTCGTCATCGTCACGATCGTCCTTCCCCTTTGGCACAATCATCTGCGACGACACTTCTTGGCCTGAAACACGAGCGCGTGGTCAACGGAGCGGCGCTTGTGAGACACGATCAACACCACCAGGGCAGCAACACCGCTGGCAATTCAACACATGTGTATGCATGCTTAAGCGAGCACACACACACACACAAAAAAAAAAAACCAAAAAAAAAAAAACGTGCTGCCCACCATCAAGGCCTTTGTGCTTGAGAACACCAACGGTGAACGCTGCGTCGCAATCGTTCGCAGTCATCATTGCCTGGACACGCGTGTGATGAGATTTGTGTGTGTGTGTGTGTGTGTGAGTAAGTGTGTGTGTGTGTGTGTGAGTAAGTGTGTGTGTGTGTGTGTGAGTAAGTGTGTGTGTGTGAGCATGTGTGCATGTGTTTGTGCATGTGTTTGTGCGTGTGTGTGTGTGTGTGTGTGTGTGTGTGTGTGTGTGTGTGTGTGTGTGTGTGTGTGTGTGTGGGAGGGCGGGGGCAAAGGGCATCAGTGAGAGTGACATAGCGCGAGGTGACAGACTGTCCTTCCACGATTTCATGTCCCGACGCAATCATCAGCATCATCACAACACCTTAGCCTTGAAGACAAGCGTCTCGAGGCTCCGTTTGAGCGCCGGCACATACGACGTCAGTACCACGTCCTGCACCACTTTGCTGTGGTTGCAGATGGACTGCAAGTGCCGTGTGCTGGCGAGGTTTTGGAGCGCGTGGTGATGGTGGTGGTGGTGGCGGCGTGGAAGCATGCAGGGCGTGAGCACAGGAGCGAGGCCAAGGTGTCCACAACAAAAGACGCGTGAAGAGATGCAGGGACGGTAAAGAGAATCGTCAAAGAGAGACACACACATCGTCCACCTTGAAGCATGCACGAACCTCTTCTGAACGTCCTTGAGAAGAAGGACGACAGGGATGGGCTGATGCTTGAGGCAGCGGGCAAGAAACGGCATGCTGGCAAGTGCGCACGAGAGTGAAGCAAAAGCAGGAGAGGCAGACGCGTGGCATGGTGACAAGGTGCAGTTGAATGCGCAGAACATTGGAGGGGAGCGAAACAAACACAGGGGCAGGCAAAGACAGGGAAAGACAAAGACACACAGTGTGTGTGTGTGAGAGAGAGAGAGAAAACGTACACACAGATTCGCACACACAGGCACACACACGCGCGCGCGCGCGCACACACACACAGGCACGCACACGCACACACACACGCACACACGCACACACGCACACACACACACACACGCACACACGCACACACGCACACACGCACACACAGCACACACACGCACGCACACACACACACTGACATGGCTCGGCTGAACTGGTCCACAAACTCCTTGGAAGATTTGACGACAGCGGCGAGGACGCCTTTGCTGCGGGCAAGCTTGAATCGCGTCAGGTGCACGCTCACGCCAAACGCCTGCAGGCGGTGGTGGCAGGGGGATGGCGGCACGGAGAGGAATGGTGAGAACGGGAGGGGCACCAGGCCAAACACACGTCCCGAAAGGCCGTGCACAGAAATCCGAGAGACAGCACAGCAAAAGCGCGGCGCACACGCGCGTACCTTGCACACATCCGAGACCTGCTCCAACGTTTGGTCATCGCGTGGGTCTGCCAGACGCGAGGAGGTGTTGGGATGGGCGTTGGGTTTGTGGGTGGTGCAGGGGAGGGCACGAAAATGACGCGCGCACAAGCAAATAAATGAAGACATGCGTGTGCACACACGCAACAATTCAGAGCACACACTAGCAAATCAAAACACACACGCACGCACGCACACACGCAAACAAACAATTAAGTGCACACACTCGCAAATCAAACCAAACAACCACACGCACGCACACACGCACGCATTCAACCTGAGAGGGTGGATCCAAGCGCCGTGAGCTGATGTGAGCAGTAGCGAAAGCACGCACGCATGTACGTGAGAAACGTCGAGCGACACAGCGTGGCAAAAGCGGAGGTCTTTGCTTTCTTGGCAGCGGGCTGCCCATCGTTCCCTTCCGCTGCCGCTGCCGGCGGTGCTGCTGCTGTTGAGTGCCGTGCAAAGTCGAGCATGGCAGCCTGGACGGTGCGCACGGCCTGCCCGTCAACAGAGTGGACGAGGAAGATGTCCAGCAGGCGGGCGAGGGTGGCGGTGGCAATGGGACGGCGATCATCATCAAGCCAGTTCAGGTCAATGCACTGATGCGCCAGCGGCGACAGCAGCGCATCAGCACGCATGCGCAACTCTTCATCCGCGTCGTCTGTTTTGGGGCGTTTGCAAACGAGTTCGGGGGAGTTGCCGTGAGCATGCGTTTGCGTTTGCGTTTGTGTGTGCGTGTGTGCGTGTGGGGGGGGGAGAGGGGAGTCAAACACACAAGCTGGAGAGTGTCGACAACGTGTACGTACATGTACATTGCACACACACACACACACACACACACACACATGCACGCAACTTCACAAGCAAGCGCGCAGACCTGCGAGTGATGGGATTGCTTCGATGATGAGGAGGACGGTGAGAAACGACTCTGCTGTGGGCGCCTTGTCAGCCACGTTTGCCAGGTACTTGATGCACATATGTGCCGCCTGCTGCAGCCCAAGCTGCTCGTCCACACACAGACGAGACGCAATCGTGCGCAGCATGGCAAGGCGCAGCGGCGGGTGCGAGGGAAGGTCTGGCCACGACAGCATGGCGTGCGCAACCTCCAGCGTCAGCCCAACAACGTCGCGGTGGTGGTCGTAGTGCTCGTGCTTGGAGAGGACAGAGTGGCGGCGGGTGCCGGCGTGGGCGTCAAAGATGGTGTGGAAGAACTCGCACGAGGACTCGAGATGCCGGCACAGCGACGGCAGCACCTCATCCACAAACCAGCGGCCAACCTGTCGATGGTTTTGAAGGAGACGAGCAACACGGCATGAGCTGCAGATTCAACCGCCCAGCTGCCAACCTCTCATTCACGAGTACATGCACACACATGCACACACATGCACACATGCACACACATGCACACATATGCACACGGAAGCGCACCTGCTGCGGGGTGTGGTCGAGAAGGGCGTGGAAGCCCGTGTGGGAGCGGGCGACGGCGGCGGCGCTGCTGGTCCACGGCCCGCGCTTCACCGGCGAGAACACGCGCTTTACCTTCGACAGCAGATCGCGCAGGAGATACGCGACATGCGGCGGGGACAGCCGCTTCTGGGACGCGCGTGACCCGCCCTCATCCCCGCTGTTGGCCGTGGCGGCGGCGTCTTTGGAACCCTGATTTTCGTGCTGGTGGTGGTGGTGCTGCTGGGCATCCAGCAGATCGTCACCTGCGTGCCAGCGAAGGACCTGCAGCAGGACAGCGGCATGGGGGCGCGTGGGAGCGCGTGGGGTTCGGGTGAGACCAACGACAGGAGAGCAATTGAACGAGGTCGCGTGTCAGGATGTGTCACATTACATGCACAACAGGGGCGAGTTCGAGAAGCCGCACGCGGACGACATGAGCAGGTGTGGTGAAGCAAAGGCGCTGATCACACACTGCAACTACAACAGTAGCAGAGGCAACAACAGCAGAGGCATGAGTGGTGGACCTGAAACACGGGGAGTTGCAGCTCCCGCAAGTACGGGCGAAAGCGAACAGTGTCCAGCAACACATCCTTGGTGTCGCTATCAGACTGCGTCACCGCGCCTGCTGATGCTTGCGGCGCTGTGCTGTGCACCTGCGTGTCCGCGCCGCCGTCTGAGGTGTTTGCGTGGTTGCTGGCCGTGCTGCTGGTGGCACCTGGCGTTGCCTTGGCCGCATGTGGGCCGCGCGTGCTCTTGCGCTTCAGCGGCGGCACCACGCCCTCGTCCACGGCGTGTGCGACGTACGGCTGCATGTGGTGCTGCTCCATGCATGTGGCCACCATCTTCTCCAGCGCTACCAGGTGCTCGATGCGCCCGAGCACGTGGCCGCGCAGGTCGGAGTCGGTTGTGCCTGCAAACGCGTTGATGGTTTCCCGCAGCCAGTTGATGGTGAAGAAGAGGCAGTGGCACAGCGTGTCCTTGGTGGACGGCGTGAAGGTTGCGAAACTGTCCAGGGTGGACACGTCGGGGAACCAGAGCGGGCAGCTGAGCAGCGCATCAATCTCGGACATGTCTCCGTCGTGCTCCACCCCCGTCAGCGTCTGCAGCAGCCGGAACGACGGGCACATGGGCAGCAGCAGGTCTGATCGGCCACGCTGCAGCATCAGCGGCACAAATCCAGCCACCACGTCGCCTGCAGGGCATGGGGTTGTGGCGGTGTGTGTGTGTGTGGGTGGGTGGGTTCGTTTGTGTGTGTGTCTGTGCGTCTGTGCGTCTGTGTGTGTGTGTGTGTGTGTTCGTTTGTGTGTGTGTGTGTGTTTGTGCGCCTTGTGTTGTGCCATATCTTGTGTGCCTGCTGCTTGCCGTCTGTGGCCGTGTACCTTCGCCAGAAAGATCGAAGCTGAACCCGCGGGTGATGACAATGTCCGGGTGCGCGACGTTCACGTCGTCCTGGCACCAATGAACAAAATGTAAAACCAGCAACGATGCCGGTGAGATCATGAACGCAATCAAAGGACAATGAACACAACAGCACAGACACGACTTAATATTCTCGTGGTAGCACACGTACATCTCGCTCCAGAAGATAGATGGACTGGAAATCAAGCAGCAGGTTGTCATCTGTCGCTCGTGCGTGTGTGCGTGTGTGCGTGTGTGTGTGTGTGTGTGTGTGTGTGTGTGTGTGTGTGTGTGCGCGCGTGTGCGTGTGTGCGTGTGTGCGTGTGTGTGTGTGTGTGTGTGTGTGTGTGTGTGTGTGAGGGACAGATGTAACGGCAATGCGTAACGAAAGCAAGGGATAGAAAAGAGCGAGAAGCAAGGAGGATTGTCCAACAACAGCAGAGTCAGGCGATCAAAGACACGTGAACAAAAATACGCACTGATCCATTCTGCAACGGGCGGTGGAAGCGGCACAGCGGCGACGAGGGAGGCGAGTTCATCGCAAAACAGCGCTTTGGACGTCGGGAAATGATTCACACTGGCGGAGACGTGTTGGTGAAAGGAGGGAGGGTGAGGAGGAACAGATACGGGGGCATCGCCTTGTGAGCAATGTGTAATGATGGATGGGCAAATGGGTGAGCTTGGATGTGCACGAGGTGAATGGAAGAGGACGAAGCGTTGTGCTGGCAAAGGAATACGTCAGCTGTACGCACTTGTCATAGATGAGCTGCAATATCTGCAACAGCGAGGAGAGATGGTTGCCTGTTGGACAAGCCAGAAGACGGGTGAGTGATGGATGAGGAGGAGCACGACAGGTCCACACGGGGAACCGCAACAACGGCGCACACGCACGAACACACGCACATATGAACATATGCACACATGAACACATAGACACATGGACACATGAACACATGAACACACACACACGCACACACATGAACGCACGGTCGATGGAGATGCCTGCGTCGTTGGCGAGAGCGAGCCAGGTGCGGGTGACGGTGGTGGCAGCGATGGTGCCAATGCGTTTCAGCTCTTCATTCGATTGAGACAGCTGTCATACACGGGGTGCAATGGAGAAGGGATGGCGGCGGTGGCGGTGTTGGTGGTGGAGTGAAGGGTGAGAGACATTCTGCATGGAAGGACATTATGTTATCCAAGACACCTTCCTCATCGCACAAGTTCACACACACACACACACACACACACACACACACACACGTTCATCCGCACCATCTTCCTGAGGAGAATGTGTGTCTCGTCGTCGATGAGGCCTGCGGCAGCGGTGCGCTGGCGGTCAAACGTGAGCGTGGTCAGGACACGGAAGAGCTGCCGGATGTGGATGAAGTGCAGGTTGCTCAGGCAGTCCAGGATGCCATTCAACATGAGCGCAAACGGGTGCAGCAGCTTCGGGTGGTCAGTGGCCAGCGACAGCAGCACAGACATGGCTGCGTCCACCTCCTGTGCCTGCCCCGTGCCAATGTGCGCCACCAGGGCCCCAACCACCTCCTGCCGCGCATATGTGTCCATGTGCACGAAGCACTGGTGGTAGAGGGTGCAGGCGAGGTGGCGGCACGCGGCCTCCTGCCGCCGGTTCAGGATGTCCGCCATGTGCACAATCGACTTGAAGCACATCGAGAACGCGCGCGTGTGTCTGGCAAACATGGCTGCGGCCATGGCGGCGGTGAGCCGGCCCGTGCTTGCAAGCTTGATCACGGTGGTCTCCGCGCCGCGGCGGTGGGCGTTCTGGTGGTGCAGCAGCAGCAGCACAAGCAGGTCGAGGGCGGTGATGGGCTGGGCCACCGTCGTCTTGATTTGCCGCAGCCACGCCTTTGCAATGCGCGCATCAAATGCCAGCCCGTTCTTGATTGCAGCCACCACAAACACATCGTGATCATCGCCCTCCTCGCGGCGACTGCTGCTGCCACCATTGTGGTTGTTGTTGGTGTTGGCCGTTTGCACGGTGGAGAAATCGATGTTTTCCCTCATGTTCTTTGTCAGCAGATTCACATCCATCCCATCCGCTGAATACCAGTGTGTGTGCGTGTGCGTGCGTGTGTGTGTGTGTGTGTGTGTGTGTGTGTGTGTGTGTGTGTGTGTGTGTGTGTGTGTGTGTGTGTGTGTGTGTGTGTGTGTGTGTGTGTGTGTGTGTATGTGAGGGATCGGCTGTGAGAGAACGTGTCACAGCGACACGTGCAGGCAGGCACATGTGAGGTCACCGTCACACACCGTTTCACACTGCGGCAACATCTGCCACTCCCCTCCACCTTGCTGCATGAGAAATTTGATGACGATTGGGAGGCACTCTGGACTGTAAGATCCAAGCTGGCCCAGCACGTGGTCGCAGCACGTGGTCGCAGATCTGGCGCAGGCGTGCCGGCGCCACACTGCACCGCAGGGGTTAGGGTGGACAGAGAAAGAGAGAGAGAGAGAGAGAGAGAGAGAGAGAGAGAGAGAGAGAGAGATGCAAGAGGGATGGGTGAGTGGTGGTGGTGGTGGTGGTGGTGACGGAATGGCTGCGTCGTGATGCAAGAACTTGGTGGCTGAGGAACACTCCGCAGATACACAACGTCATCGACAACGCAAACATCATCAGCTTCGTGTTCGCACTTGAGATTTGAGAATGCATCGAGGATGGCTGGCGCCAATGACGGCTCGCCTTGCAGCAACTGTAGCGGTGGCATGACGTGGGGTGAAAGCACGCACTGCGGTCGGCAGCAGAGTCACGCATGATGCAAATGCAGGGCCAGTTAAGTACACAAGCACACACACACACACACACACACACACACACACACACACACACACACACAGGGTCGTACGGAGAAGAGGTGGTCTGTGAGAAAGGCGGAGGACTGGTCGTCACACAACTCGGGCAGCGCTTGGATCATCTGTAACAGCGAGAGAGATCGTGGCAAGGCGTGGGCGTGTTGCCCAACGCATAACACGCGTGTGTATGAGGGTCGTTGAAAGACGAGCCATGCACGTACATGAATGTGAACATGAATGCAAACACACATGAATATGAACACATGAATGCAAGCACGCACACGCACACACACACACGCACACACGTACACACATGTATGCACACCTCCTTCTTCAAGTCTGTTGGCAGGATGGCGAGCACTTGGAACATGGTGTCTGTTGTGTTTTCGGGGTCGACCATGAGCTCGAGCCAGCGCAGTTCGCCGAGCAGCAGCCGCGGAATGTCCAACGACACCGATGCAGACGAGTCCGCCTGGCTGAACTGCACACTGGTGGGTGGGCGGGTGGCGTACAGTGTGCGAAGTGCACGAGGCATGCATGATAAGTGCTGAATGGCTGGGGTTTGAGGAACTGTACAGGATATAGGTCAGCAACAGCATCACCTGACAGCATACTTGCGGGCGGCACGAAGCATCCGACACACGTTTACACAGACAAACACACAAGGTCGCACGCGTGCACACACACACACACGCACGCACGCACACACACACACGCACACACGCACACACGCACACACGCACACACAGAGCGCATCACTGCCGCACGCACGTGTCTTCCATGGCAAACTCTGAGATTTTCTCGAGCAGGACGCGGTACACCTCCGGCTGCACGCTTGGGGTGTTCAGCAGCACCTTGACCAAACTCGGCAATCGCCGCCCACTTCTGTTCACATACACACACGCACACACACGCACACTTGTTGTCAGAATACGTATGTGTGTGTTGGGGAGCTAAGTGCGCGCGCCCAACATGCACACACATGCCCATACACAGATCACGCACACACACACACACACACACACACACACACATGTGTACACCCATGCTCACGCTTTAGGTTGACTGGATGTGGGCGTTCTGGTTGAGGCTGGTTGCAGTGGCGAGATGACGCGCCGAAGATGGGCGGCGCTCTCCACATATTCCGCAAATGATTCTGGCAACAAAGCAAGGCGGTGCAATGTGGTGCAAGTGGCGCAGTGCCAAGTGTCAAGCGTCAAGTGAGCGAGTGACAAGCTACCAAGTGATTGTTGGAGGTGGCAGAACTCCAAATCCAAGCGTGCCAACAAGAAAACAACCAAAGCAAACACCACAACGACCAACCTTCAAACGCCTTTCGGTTGCTGGCGTGGTTGAGATGGTCCCTCAATGCGCGCGTCGCCTCCTGCAGCGTCTTGGCTGCTCCACACCGCAAGCAGAAGTATGAGCAGGAGCGGGAGCAGATGTGTGGTGTGAGGTGGAGGAGAAACACAAGCACATGGCAGCTGAAGCACATGCGCGGGAAAACCGTGGCGAGGCACGCAACCACCAGCCAGTCCAAGCAATCACGGTGGCACTGCGCATCACTGACTTAGGATGGGCGGTCCATCTGGGCTCAGTGCCACGCCGCACGACGCCAGCACATCCTCCAAAGCCATCGTAACCGTGGAGCGGTGGGAAGGGCGCTTCGCAAGCAAGCACAACACCAACACTGCCACTGCCGCTGCTGCTGCGACTGTCCAAACACGTTCCTGCCACCAGCAGTCGTTTTGTCTTCTTCGCGCCGTTTCTCGCTGTGCGGATTCCCTATAAGATATTGCCAATCGCCCATGAATTTGGTTGCCAAACGAAAACGCAAACAACGACGACGACGACGAAGCAACGACTGGCTTGTAAATCGACTCCACAGCACACGCACACAGACACACGCACACAGACACACGCAGACGGGCACCAAGCACACGCACACAGACACACCCACACGCACACACACAGCACACACGCACACAAGGACAGGCGCGTAGCTGAGGGGGGAAGGACCACCCAGCTTCGCCAAGGATGTGGCAGCAACGTGCTTTGCGAAGTGCGTGGAGCGATCGCATCACGTGGCTTGCATACGTGGTAGATTCACGTGGTGGTGTTTCAAGTGTGTGTGTGTGTGTGTGTGTGTGCTCTGCTTTGCCACTCTCACGGTGTTACATCACGTGTCATCAACGACCCACAGGCAACCAACAGCGCGCCCGAGGCTCGCATCGACCGCCATGGGCTGCAGATGAAGAGTACGTATGTATGTGTGTGTGCGTGTGTATGTGTGTGCGTTTGCGTGTTGTGTGTCAACGTGTCTGTCTGTCTGTGTCTGCGCGTTTGTGTGTTGTGTCAACGTGTCTGTCTGTGTCTGCGCGTTTGTGTGTTGTGTCAACGTCTACCTGCTCTTGTGTATGCAAGGGCCCCGTTGCTTGCCGTTCAACCTTATCCACCCACACCTCGGCCTGGTTTCATATGCTCAGACCAAGCAATGCTGCCCGTGAGCGACAACAACACGAGGCGTCGTCCCAAGCGACGGTGGCGAGATCGCGACCACGGTCCCGGTCCCAGGAACGGATCCATCACTCCGCATACGGCGTCACACCACCAGCCGCTCCCCAGCAGCACCAACAGCCACAGCAACAGCAATACTACCCTCCAGCTACAGGATACGGCCAATCGCACCCAGCACAGGCGCCACCGCCAAACCCTGTCTCTCAGCAAGATCTCGAGCAGATGTCCCTGACTGACCTTGAGCGCCTCCTGGCACAGTGAGACCCGGCTGCATGTGTGTGAATAGTATGTGGGTGGGTGTGGACCTGTATGTTGTGTATGTTGTGTGTGTGTGTGAGCATGTGTCGGTGTGCATGTCAATTGCTTCCCTACTCGCAATAACTGCTGCTGCTGCTGCTGCTGCTGCTGCGTGACTGGTATCATGGCACTTCTCCAAACACTTGCATCCGCGCTCATGATTGCCGTTCATTCTTTTTTCTTTTTTTTTTGACGTTGTTCTCAGGCGGCGCCAGGAGCGGCCCCGCAAACGCCAATCGCCCCATGAATTTGGTTGCCAAACGAAAACGCAAACAACGACGAACGAAGCAACAACGAAACTGCTGCTTGCTTCACATCAATCAAGACCATCAAAGCGCATCACAGCACACAGGCAGGCAGACGCACACACACACCCACACGCACATAGACACACCCACACGCACGCACACGCACACACGCACACAAGGACAGGCGCGTAGCTGAGGGGGGAAGGACCACCCAGCTTCGCCAAGGATGTGGCAGCAACGTGCTTTGCGAAGTGCGTGGAGCGATCGCATCACGTGGCTTGCATACGTGGTAGATTCACGTGGTGGTGTTTCAAGTGTGTGTGTGTGTGTGTGTGTGCTCTGCTTTGCCACTCTCACGGTGTTACATCACGTGTCATCAACGACCCACAGGCAACCAACAGCGCGCCCGAGGCTCGCATCGACCGCCATGGGCTGCAGATGAAGAGTACGTATGTATGTGTGTGTGCGTGTGTATGTGTGTGCGTTTGCGTGTTGTGTGTCAACGTGTCTGTCTGTCTGTGTCTGCGCGTTTGTGTGTTGTGTCAACGTGTCTGTCTGTGTCTGCGCGTTTGTGTGTTGTGTCAACGTGTCTGTCTGTGTTTGTGCGTTTGTGTGTTGTGTCAACGTCTACCTGCTCTTGTGTATGCAAGAGCCCCGTTGCTTGCCGTTCAGCCTTATCCACCCACACCTCGGCCTGGTTTCATATGCTCAGACCAAGCAATGCTGCCCGTGAGCGACAACAACACGAGGCGTCGTCCCAAGCGACGGTGGCGAGATCGCGACCACGGTCCCGGTCCCAGGAACGGATCCATCACTCCGCATACGGCGTCACACCACCAGCCGCTCCCCAGCAGCACCAACAGCCACAGCAACAGCAATACTACCCTCCAGCTACAGGATACGGCCAATCGCACCCAGCACAGGCGCCACCGCCAAACCCTGTCTCTCAGCAAGATCTCGAGCAGATGTCCCTGACTGACCTTGAGCGCCTCCTGGCACAGTGAGACCCGGCTGCATGTGTGTGAATAGTATGTGGGTGGGTGTGGACCTGTATGTTGTGTATGTTGTGTGTGTGTGTGAGCATGTGTCGGTGTGCATGTCAATTGCTTCCCTACTCGCAATAACTGCTGCTGCTGCTGCTGCTGCTGCTGCGTGACTGGTATCATGGCACTTCTCCAAACACTTGCATCCGCGCTCATGATTGCCGTTCATTCTTTTTTCTTTTTTTTTTGACGTTGTTCTCAGGCGGCGCCAGGAGCGGGTGCACCGACCCCAGTCCACGCCGGTCGAGGAAGGGCTGTACCATGCCCACTCCTACCGCGTGCCGGATGCAGCGTCCAGCCGCCCCAAGAGCTACGGCGCACCGCAACAACAGCAGCAACAACGCCCGGGCGGCCCCTCATGGCTGGCAGATGCAGACACAATATCTGCCCAGGCGGCATCGCGGGCCGCGTCGCGTCGCTCCACCCGCAGCCTGACAACACCAGGCCAACAGCAGCAGCAGCAGCAACAGCCGTCGCCAGCACTGCAGCAGCAGGACCGTGTGGCGGCACAGCGCGCATATGCGGAGGAGCTTGAGCGGCAGATTGCAGACAAGAAGCGACGGGAAAAGGCCATGAAATACGGCGGGGGCGATGACGCGGGCGTCTCATTTGTGGACCTCGACAGGCACAAGGACAAGCAGGTGTGGCGTGTGTGTACAGTGTACCTGGGGAGTAGGTGGTTGATATGTGATGTGAAGCGAGGCTGCGTTCCCGCTTGTATGCACACCTACGACGTGATGCTTTGTCGTCCGTATCGGGCAAGAAGACGCCTGCTGTGTGCGGTCTCGCAAACCGCATTCACACAATCATGCGCACCATCACGCACACACACACACACACACACACACACACACACACACACACACACACAGGGTGGCTGGCGAGATGGAAACGATGAAAAGACGCCGCAGCGGCAGCCACCGCGCCGCTACCAACAGCAGCAGCAGGACGACACAATGGCCGCCACCCAGCGCCCAGGTCTCGTACGTCACACCAGCTCCCGTGAAGGCCCCAGGGGAGGCGGCGGTGGTAACGCCTTCCAACAGCAGCAGCAGCAGCAGTTCCCACAGCAACAACAGCAGCAGTTTGTGCCTGGTGGCGGCGTGTACGGAGGCGGGTTTGCGCCACAGCCCATGGGAATGCCCGTGAGCATGCCCATGTATGGCGCGTCCCCGTACTCAGCCTTCCCCGCCGTTCAGCCCTATGCACCGCCACCACCACAGCAGCAGCAGCAGGCGTACGTTGCCCCGTTTGTAACGCCGGCGGGACCGCCGCTGTACGGGCAGGCGCCGATGCCGCCGGCCGCCGTGGAGCCGCCAGTCTCTGGCGAACACGTGCATCACGTGCGGGTGCACGGCGACGAAGGCAGCGGCAGTGGCGGCGGTGGCGGCGGCGGCGGCTGGGACAGCAACCAGTACACCCAGCACTACCAGAACTCCCCGCATGCGAAAGGTATCGACAACCATGTGGATGTGTGGGTATGCGTGTGGGTGTAGTCGCTTTGCATCGTGGTTTCGTTCGGTCATCATGGTTTCGTTCGGACATTGTGTCGCTCACCCAATGTCCTTGTCTCCGCAATCAGGCGTTGCACCCGGCGTCGGCCCGCCCGGCCAGAGCAAGAAGTCGTACGCCGAAGAGCTGCGGGTGTGTGTTTCTTGAAACGGCTGCTTGCTTGCTGGTCGCTGTGTGGCTGGTTGGCCGGTTGGTTTGGCGATGTTGTTTTTGTATGTCTGCGTGTGGTTTGTGAATACGTCCTTTGGTCCTCATTGCCTGCATGCACTCACGAACGCCGCGGCGTTTTACCATCGATCATACCGCTATCAGGAGCAAATGCGGCTGAAGAAAGAGCGAGATGAGCAGAAGAAACGCGAACGCGATGCATGGGAGGCAAAGAAGGACCAAGAAATTGCGGTAAGCTAACCCACCACCAGTGTATTCATCATCATCATCATCATCAGCATCATCATCATCATCATCACGTGTGCTGTTGCGTTGCGTTGCGCATGCTTGTCAATTTTCACTCACCCACAATTACATTGCAGGATTACAACCCGTGGGGTCGCGCTGGTGCAGGTGCGCCTTCAAAGAAGACGCAACAACAACAACAGCAACAGCAGCAGCAGCAGCAGCAGCAGCCGCCGCCACAACAACAGCAGCCGCCACCGCAGTACGGCGGACCGCAGCAGCCTGCGCCGGTGGAGTCGCCGGGTGTGCCCGGCGGTGGACAGCACTCGTCGTCGCGGGTGACGGTGGTGGCGCAACCGGGCGATGAGCAGCGACGCCAGGCCAGGCTCAAGCAGCAGGTGGTGCTTGGTGGAGGAAGAGGGAAGAGGGTGATGGGATGCATGCGGGGATGATGTGCAACGGTGCTGATGGCGTGCGCTGGCGCTGATGATCACTCACTGCCCATCGGCATGTGAATGTGTGTGTACAGGAGGAACTAAGGCAGCAAATTGAGGAGAAGCGGCGGAAGAAGATGGAGGAGGAAGCGAAGCAGAAACAGGAGGAAGCACAGGAGCAAGAGCGCATTCGACGCGAACAGGTGGGTGCGTGTGCGCATGTGCGTGTGTGTCTGTGTGTATGTGTGTGTGTGCTTTTCTGTGGATAATGAACTTCCACATGGACCATGTGCAGTGTGCACCTTTCGACTCATTTGGCTTTTGTGTCGTTTGGGGGCCCAACAGGAGCGGCTGAAGCAGATGTTCGAGGAAGAGCAGCGGTTGCAGCGCGAAAAGGAGGAGAAGGCACGGAAAGAGGCCGAACTCCAGAAGCAACGTAAGTCAGCGCACGTACATAAGTGTGCATGTGTGCGTGCATGTTGTGCTAGTGTGCTGCGTACATGGGGTGCTATGTACCTGTCTGTATTTTTTTTTGACGCACGGAAGTCGAAAGCACCTGCTGATGCTGTGATGTCTGTGAATTTCCCCAATCAGAGATTGAGGAGAAGCGCCAGCGAATGCGCAAAGAGGCAGAGGAACGCGAGCGAAAGGCACAAGAGGTGTGTTGACGATATTCATGTGTGTTTGTGTGTGTGTGTGTGTGTGCTTGTCTTTGGTGATCTCACTCATCTGTCGATCACAAACATTTTCTCAACTTTGCAGAAATTTGAGCGGGAGCAGAAGGAGAAAGCGGAACGCGAAGCAGAGGAGATGCGACGCGAACAACAACAGCAACC